ACACAAAAAGTTTTCAGTGTGTTGAATCCTCACGTTTCCGTCGTTGTCGAACTGAAATTCATTCACGGTGTTAATGTTGACAACTTAAAAGACTCGACTTACTAAGCTCTGTAATCTATTTTTGGAAGTGTTATTGCAACCAAATTGAATATGCGCCGTTGTCTAATTTCATGTAAAACTGTGTTTACGTAGATAAAACGAATTTTTTCGTATGCAAAATGAAAAATAGATAAATAAAAATACTTCATTAGGTTTTAATACATGGTCTCGTAACGGGAATTAAATAAAAACACTGTATATGAGCTATTAGAACTAAATCGATTGACATTACTTTTTCATATTTTTAGAAGCACCATGTTTTAAAAAACGCGATACAAATTCCAAAGTGGTCCGAAGTGATAGCTAGAGCTACCCTACATCTAATCTAATGAACACTACAATTACAAAGACAATATGTGCCGTAATGCACCCCTATCACAGGAGTTTATGTTCTTCTGGTATATAAAAAGTTAGTACCTGGAGGACCGAGCTTTGCTCGGTTTGTTTTTTTTGGTAAATCGTGTATTTTGGAAATTACATTTAGATACAAATTACTAAGTAATGAAATATGCATAATATGTTTCGATCTTACCGACTTAATAATAAGAAAATATGAACTGGTGTTTTTCACAAAAGAAAGAACTTTAAAAAAAAGGGAAAAAATAACAAAATAACAAAAATAAAAAATTAAAGATAAAGAAAGCAATGATCTGGAATCTAAAAAAAGTAAAAAGAAGTGTGTAAATGATCGTGATACGAACCACGGACTTCTGTTTCGTGGCTGTTTGTTAGCGGCCGCCCGATTACCGACCGAGCTATTATAACTTTTTTTTTTCGGTGAAAATTACCGTCGTATTCGAATAATATTTTTCATTCCCTGAAAACTGGGATAAAACGACATTTTCTAAAAAGAAACCTAGTTAGATCGATTTTTCACCCCCGAATCTACGCACATACTAAATTTCATGAAAATCGCTGGAGCCGTTTCCGAGATTCCAATTATATATATATATATATATATAACAATCGCTGTTGCGACGGTTTTCACTTATACTTCATTGTTACACCTTAGGCTAAAGGCTACAACTTAATGCCTAATGGCATTCTCTACCAGTCAACCCTTTTTCATGATGAGAAGTAGATGATTCACTTAACATCAGGTGAACCGCCAGCTCTCTTGCTAACTTCCCTCATAAAGAAAGGCATACGCCTGACGCACGTGTGCCACACACGTCTTCTATTGCACAGCTTGTCAATAAACGCTTTTAATAGATAATTGCGCACGAAAAGTAAACAACATACTATCCATAGAATGTGACCAGACGAAAGCAACTTTCAAATATAGATATTATAATGCTCCAACCGGTGGCCCATCCAATAATAAGGATACAGAAATTAGAAATTCAGATGATATTTTGATTAACACTGAAGTATGTCATTAAGAAACAGAGCTTGCAAAGCTCTGTTATGAAGACTATAATATCTGTCGATAAAGACTATATAGGGAAAGAAAAAGATACATAAAATTATAGAAAAAGTGATACCGATCCAATTGGATAAAAAAATTACTACGTAGATATGCGAAGTCAGACAATGCGCAGTGGGGTCCCGGGGTGGACTATGCCCTGATACCCCATGTACAGAGGATGCATTCGCCCAGCAGTGGCACGTATACAGGTGTTACTTTACTTTACTTAATTGGATCCGCGCAGTTGTTACTTGAATAAGCCAGAAGCTGCTTGTCAAGATACATGACGGAATAGTGAAGTTAGCGTTACGTTGTCGATATCTGAACAAAAAAAGTCTTTAAAACAAAAAAATGTTCCCTTTCTAAAATCGTATAAAAGTAACAAAGGAAACGCGTAAGTGTGTTAATGCTCTTAGAGAATTAATAAAAAATTATCTATCCACCTTACGTCACCCGCCACTTGAGTCACGAATTTCGCACGGCCTTTGATAACGATTGTTATTTACCAGAAATCGTCCCCATCTAACGTTGGAGCCAATATTGACTGCTGCGATAAAACGGGTATCAAGTAACACGAATTAAAATAAGGATACCGCTAATTGTCGTGAATTCAGTGGGAAAATTACATCTGATATTATATTATAACAAAGTAATCGATTTTATATTACGGTTTCGATTGGTATACTTAGCAATTTTTCTTAAAAGCTTCAATATTAAGTTTGTCTGAATAATTCGTATTGTGCCAAATAAAATCCTATTTCAACATTACATAAGAGCCTATCTTAACTTTCAAACTTTTAGCTGATAAGGTAAGAATATTACATGTCAGAAAAGAGTTGCCGTGCAACAACTCGTTTTCAATAGGGTAGAGCCTTGTCTTCGAACACTCAACTTTTGACACAGACTACTTCAAATGTTACCTAACGTAAAACAAGAAAGCAAGTAACTTAACAATATTATAATTAAATATTATTAAAAATAATTTACTCTAAAAACTCTCAACACGAACCGTCTTAGTTGGCATCTAAAAGTGACGACATTCGCTAATTTTCGCAACACTGTTGTAGGAACAGAGCGAGGATGAACCACAATCTATAAAATTCTAATATGATTGTAGTAAAATATCGCAAAATGGTTGATTTTTTTAATGGATGAAGTTTTGCCAAACATCAAGTTATGAGGTTTAGATGGATATTATAGGTACTACTATATCATGTTATATGGTAACAAGTCTTTTAGAGACAAAACTGTGTCATTAAGCACCAGTGCTATTCGTGTAACTTTCAAACCAAATAAAATTATTTCGAAAAAGCGGCATTTCATTTTTGATCGATTGTCGAAATTTATCCATGGACATTTGATCGCATTACGCTAAAATAAAAGTTTCCAAAAACAAATGAAACTGCTATAGACAAGATAGATTAGACAGATAAAAGATAGATAATCAAACTATTTATCAGTCTAAATCTTTTATATAACAGATAATATACAAAATTTAGCTTATGCAGTTTATGTAATACCTCACCACACTTTTTTAGCAACAATGTCTCGATAATCGAAACTATCACATTGACCTTTGTGTATTATAAAACATCCGTAAAACAACAACAGATAGCAACAATGTTGTATTGTTTCGATATAAGTTTAAAAATAATTTACTATCTTTTAATTAATTAATCTACCACCACAAGGTTAGAGATATGTACTTTATTTATATTTTTGCATTTAATCGTGGCAAATTTGAAAAACTATCGCTTATAATTGTAATTGTTTTGATGAATCTTATTCTGACGGAACTAGATAATGTACGAAATTTGCATGGACAAGCGTTCCAGGTCAACATAGAAGTTATGTTTCTCCCTTTGGGAAAAACTTAAATAACAATCGAGCAATCGAAAATACTAGCTTCGGTTGCGCCTGATAATAGGGAGGGCAGAAGTCAAGAAAATGTATCTTGCAATCAAAATTTCACTGAAAGGTCTTTGGAACATTGTGTTTAGCGTTTATTGAGAAGGTTAGATACTTAGAGCAGAACAATTGGAAGCAGTCGTGGATCGAGCCGTGATCTGTTAATTAGATGGCAGACCTCTAATTAAGGGCTATTAGCGACTATGTGCTTCTGTGCTAAAGTCAAATATACAAAAGTGTAATAAAATATTCCCATGTGCGTCAGCTGCAAGCATCCAAAAAGCAGAATAACGATACATAAATCTAGAATAGGAGACGAGTTATTAACACTTATAGCGAAATAGAGCCAAGTTTGCGAAGGCTTTGTCAATTTCGATGCAATGAGCTTCTAGAGCGAGGACTACCGATAAACATGTAAGCAGCATTTACATAATATTCAAAGTCAACTGCCATTTCAACTGGCCGTGATGAAACGGGAAAACCAAACGGTCATGAAGTCTAACATGATATGGGAAAAGAAAAGTCTGGAATAGGCGTCACTACCCACTACCCACCCAAAATTGGGCCTGCCTCCTGCGCCAGAGGGTGCAATCCCCACTACAGGAAAAATATTGTGTGATGAACAAAGGGTTTTCCAGTGTCTGGGTGTATATGTTTCTAATATGTATTTATTTCCAAAAGAAAATCATTTTTAGTACTAGTATTCTAGTACTATTACCCGTAGTACAAGCGTTGCTTAGTTTGGGACTAGATAACGTTGTGTAAAAATGTGTCCTGAAATATTTATTATTTATTACATGTAAATTGTGCGGTATCAATTCGCTATGGATGTTGACGCGGGTCAAGTTCCCGCTTCGAGAACTAGGGCTGCTCTGACGTCACGGCTGCATTCGCACGCTAAATATAGCTTCGTGCGCGCGCTTAGTAACCTCACCCCGTGACCCACTTAGCGAACCGCCGCCCTTGGGGGGCTCAGGTTGTAACCCGGCGAACTTGCCGCAGGCCCATGTTCAACACAATCCCAGTATTCAAATCGATGTGAACACACGAAAAGTTACCGAGTGAACAACCACAAATTTTGACGACGATGTCCATGATATAAAATTGACAATTATAATTATATAACAGGAGTCTAGACTATTTTTTTTTAATTCTCTTGAGATAAATAAATTTTATTAAATTTGATGACTCCGTGGCGCAGTCGACAAGACTCACAGATAGTTGTTTCGCATCTGGGGGTTTGGACGCGTGAAATTTATGTTTGTAAAACTTCTTAACAACACAGGATAATATTAATTTATACCAATCAGTCATATCTTTAATTTGATGCAGTTTATTACTATAATTCTATCAATTAAAGTCGTAAAACAATGTTCTGATTTTTGACCAAAATGACGAGTGGCCCATGCATAAAATTAACTGCAAGCACATGGTGTCCCCCAAGGCGTTTAACGTGTTAAGGGCTATATTAAAAAAAAGATAAAGAAAGAAATAAATAAGATAAGATTAACGGTGTTATAAGACTTGCACCTAAGTTGGTTCAGCTGCAATAGATGTTTTAGGGCCATGCAAAACGTGTACTCACCAGAGAAGCATTTTCTAAGGGCTTGGCCGGTCCATCATAGGCGCAGTTCTTCGACTTTGCCCCCTCGGTGCACACGCCATACCATATGCAATGGCCTTCTGAGGCAACGGTGGGTACCTGGAACAAACAACATTACGTAGTCATTAATTACTTTATTAACCACAAACTATTAGTTACTTTGTTAGGTAACTACCGCCCGGCTTCCCACCGGCATCAGCACTAATTATTAAAAAAATCTCCGTTGATCCATCGTCGCTAAAAACTTTATAGAACCAGCCACTGGACCAATCTTAACGTTGAAGTCTGAAAATTTCGTCTGAAACGGTTCAGGCGTTTTGGAGTCTATACATATTATACCATATATAAATATGTCATATTATATAATTATATTTACAAGTCTCTTTCTGTTATAATGTTATTTAAGCGTATAGATGCATCATTGACGATTAAATTGCCTAATAAAATCTTAATGCTATTGAAAAATGATATACGTAGTTAATGTATTATATAAGTAGTTGTGTTAGTTAACATTTCATGGTAAAATAAAAAAAATGGTAGACCACAAGCAAGATAAATATAATGCCCTTTAATATTTTCAAGGGTTAGTAAATATTTATTTTAATACTCAATACGGCTCTAATCTTTTTTATTCGCAAATGGCTAGCGCTTGACTGCCATCACTGGCATATTAGTAGCGGATCCATGACATCATAATATTTTATATCTTTGGCAAAATTTCAATTACTGCCATGAGGCGATTGTACCCCATAAGTCCAAGAATAAATAAAATGTAGGTTGAACGACGTATGGAATTGAACATCATTTAAATTTACTATTTGACATTAATATATTAAACATTACTAAATAAAAATAGTCAGCGTTTTTTCTTAATTCGCCGACTTGACCACAAAAGGTACTGAATATATAATAGCTCATATGGAAACAAATACGTACTTTTACGTTTACTCAGGTTAATATACTACATGTAGACACGTTAATAAAATGATACGTTTAGCGTAGAGCAAATATTCCATAACTTTATTCAGTGACTTGTAATATTGTAACATTTGCGTTAATGCCGTCAAAACTTTACCGAGATAATACCATATATTATTTTTGTTACAACTTTAAAGAGTGATGGAATGGTTTTTGGTATTTTTTCGTTAAATTACGTTAATACATTGTTACAATCGAAACGTCTGACTTTAGTTGGGAACCTTCTCTATCCAGAATCAAAAAAAATCTAAAACGTATCCCATACTAACGCGATTGGCCTCCAAGAGCTATTTAGGCAGGACATAGTTAATATCGTTACACCGAAAACTACACAAAATACTAATACTAAAAAGATAATCCTGTGGCTAAGACAACGGCCTCGTTTAACCGTGGCTGAAACGCAGGCTTCGTTGTTGAGTGTCGTGGATTCGAAACTTCGATCGGGACAAAATCGCATAAAATTGTAAAGGATTTGAGGGTTCATGTACACACCGAGCTTATGGACCGCCTAAACTGGGTATATTTAAGAGGACTATACATAGCCAAACCGTCGGTGGTCGTAGCAAGCATTGCAAAGCTCGTGCAACCAACGAAAGCATCATAACTAACGCGCATCGAGTAATTTTAGAAATGATGCTGGTACAGCTGTAAACACCAAAACTCTCTCGCTATCCCAGAAATAAACTCTGCGTAGCTTGTAATTTTTATCTTTGGGTTGTAAGCCACTAATCCGGATATTGAATGGTCAAAAGTAAACAAAGACTTGAGCCGTGATAGCTCAGTGTTCGCTTTTAATTTAAAATGCTCGAGCAACCTGAGTTCGATCCCCGGTACCGGCACAAATGAAATTTTTAATTTTAGTTTAGTTAGCGCTTACGCTGAATTTATCACTGTTCAGCGGTTAAGGAAAACATCGCGAGGAATATGTATTCCATGGCGGTATTGGTCGAATATGTTCGCTATTACAACGCAAACGATTCGCCAGACTACCTAACGATGTATTAAGCTTAGATTTCAATTCGATTACAATTTGCCGACAAGTGGAAGGTAAACAGCGGGACTCCATCGGATAATGAAATATCGATCCTCGAGTCGAGCGACAACGTCCAATCCAATTCGAATTACGTTTTAAAGTTTCGACTGGTGTTGGTAAAAATAATCGGTACTTTTCCATTGTCGGACGCAGGCAATTTGTTCGCGACTTTTAGTTTAATATAAACCTTTTTTAAGACTGATTTAGACTCGTGTTATTTGGTTAGGCTATTTTGGTGCGTTTCCAAACATATAGTATAGCAGCGTCAATGCTTCGACATGACCTCTTCACGTCCAAGAAATGACGCTGCTATATATTAAAGAAGAATTAATTTAATTAATTTTAAAATACTCCAAAACCCCCCTTTTTATTTCCGCGATAGATTCAGTTTTAAAAGTAATATTTCAGACGGGTCACGGTGCTTGATACTTAAACACTGACGACCATTGACTTTTAAGAAAACATCAACGAAAACGAAAAACTACTCAAGAGTGTATTCAGAAAAAGAGGGAGTAGTGCATATCACTTTCCAAACTATAAAAAAAAAAACGTTCAAAGGCCGTCGAGAAAACGCATAAACGTAGAACGTATAGCGTTAACTAAATAAATAACCTACGTTGATTACGAAAACAACTATTAAACGGGAAGAAAAGACAACATGTCAGTCAACGGGACAGTATTCGATGACAATAGGAACGAAGAAAGTCGTAAATCAATTTAACGTCAGAGCAGCCACTGTAGAAACGGACGCGTTATAGATTCGACGGCTCGACACATAGTTCGCACGAATAACAAATTCCAGGGTCCGTTACATCGACATTCGAAATACGATGAATTCATGAGATGGCCGGCGTATACGAAATGCTGAAACGGACTACATGCGTAGCGAAATTGGATCGTTTCAAACGAAAATATTTATAAGACCCTATAAATATTCTTTACTCGGTGAGAGAGCGGGCGGTTACATGTGTATACCGTATACATTATGTGCATTCAACTATACATACGAGTATATCAATACAAGTGAATACTATGTAATTGCGTTGATAACGGTTGCCAAAACAATGGGAGAATGTACCGTCTCCTATATACATATTTATGCAACCTAGCAAAGAGGTCAGAACTTACATCAAAATGATTGAGCAATTGATTTGTTTCAAACTTGTAAAACCACTAAATCAGTGTGTTATTTGTTTATACTATTAAAAATATATAGAAAATTCCCAATCTGCTTATAAACAAATTATGATGTATCCCGGCTACCCCACTCACAAGGGGAAACGCAAAAGCATAAATAAGCCGAGTGATTCGCCCGGTTTTTTGCGATGCCCTTGATACGATCTCTGGACTAGCCGCTGCGCACGAATGTGTGCGAGAATCTGTTGTTTTGCTCTAACGTATTAAAATTATTTAATTACTATGTAAAAAAGAACAAACTACGAAGCAATGTATGGATTAGGAAATTTTGTCTGTCAAGCCCTACGTATGTATACGAATCAATAAAAATGTGGTACACTATCACTGGTTTTTACTTTACGAAATGGGTAATATGTAAGTTATCATCTTTATAAACAAAATAGGGATAACGTTTTCCGTCGTAAATATTTATTTAACGCCGTATTCCGCTGTCCTTGGTTTAAACTGTCAATGGAAAAACCATTGTAATTTCTTATCTTTATACGACTTATTTACAATGTTAAATTGCGCAATTCGGGTGATTAGGCTACGACAGATGAAACCTCAAAAGCGTACACACAACAATAAAACTAGCGAAAATCTTTTTCAATGGGAATTGGATAAAACAAATTAACAGTGACTAAGCCGCGAGTATAATAGATCTTTTTTTTAAATTGGCAAGGGAGCGGGCTGCTCACCTGTTCAGTGATTACATCTGGTTGACACTGGACTGATACAGACTGACTGACACTATCACCCTTTATTCTTTTAAAAAATATTTAAGACTCGTCAAAGCTCACTTTTTTCCTCCGTAAACATTTTATCTCTGTATTATGATTGTTTTCTTTTTTTTTTCTCTTAATGAATTTCCAATGCGTTATATGGTTTTTGTCCACTTACCGTTACCTTCTGTTTATATTTAAATATCTATGTATTTATTCATATATATATTTATTTATTTATTTGTGTACATGTAGTAGTGTTGTATACATGTATACCCATATTTTCAATAGCGTATACCTAAGACACTGATCATTTTATTCTCTGTAACATGGTTGCCTGGAAGAAATCGCTCCTAAGAGATAAGGCCGCCAATTGTACCTTTATGAAATTGTTTGTTACTTTTGTAATTTTGTCTGGTTTACAATAAAGCGGATTTCATTCATTCATTCATTCATTCAAAGCCTTATTCCATACTAGGATATAGTTCATGTGTCGCGGGAGGATTTATAAATATGAGCTTTTGAACAAGAATTACCTGATTCTGAACAACCATACACGTCCCGTGTACTGGTATAGGGTGATGTATGGCGAAGCGACCAGTCAAGTTCTGATAATTTGCAAGGTTATTGACTGCCGTGTAAGCAAGGAGTATCCTATTCTTTTCAAAACTGACGCACTAAAAATTGATCCGGTCGAACGAAAATTAAAATTAGTAGGTACGGATTTAAAATCTTAAATAATTAAAAAATACCAAATGATGAGAAGTACATTTCAAATACGTTAGAGATTATCAAAACGAAAATGTAATTAACAGATTCAATGCTGTTTTTGTCGATCAAACAGATCTCAACAACCTGATAGTACCTAAATTTTGTTTTGGTGTTAAATTTACTTTCTATCGTTCTCATATTTGTCATCATTTGAATAATTATGTGCGTAAATCGTAACAATAAAGAAAGTCATTCGACATCCATGTAAATATCTATCGGTAGATACAAAAATATTTAGAAAAACAGTTTGTATCAAAATAAATTTATTATATCCCATTAATATCCGATATAAATAAATATGGCGAGCAGCGTCGGGATCCGCGACAGTGACCTTTATAATATCTCGTCCATAATTCACGAGGGAGCTAATCTGACTTCCTGCATTAGCTTATTCATACGGGATCGAGCTGAATAAGAGA